CTTTTCAGCAAGTGTTTGAACACTGACGTGGAGGGAGTGGCTTTCAGAGCTCTCTGGGTTATTTGTAAACTGTGCCCATTCAAACAAAATGTGTTTGTAATTAACTTTACAATCATGTATCTAAACAGTGCCCACAAGCAGGTTGGCCTTAGAAAGCAAAACCCTCCTTCCTGTCCTTCTATCTTCAAATAACATAAACTGTCAGTACAATATTGTGGCAAATGGGACAATGATAACAACAGAAAGACCACAAATAATGGAAGAGAAAGGAAAGGTGACTCTGCAAACACCATGCACAAAATGAAATCCAAACTGGAACACCAAGTATATCTTGTGGTAATGTCTGGGAGACAACAGCAAGGTCTTCAGGGAACTGCTCTGGGAATTTTTTGACAAAGCTTCCTAGAGGGGAAATTGGGTGGCAGTGCCACTCTATTTTAGGTGTGTGTGTCAGAGCTCCTCTTAACTGCACAGAGAGCTAAAAAACTTTCAATTGTTTTAACTTTTAACTGGATTTTGTTTCCATACTCAGATAACAGATAGTAGGCACGTTTGTCTGCGTGTGCAGCTCTGCTCGGTGCCTGGGCAGCTGCTGGTGCTCCTCTGCTGGGTGCAGACAGCCCACACCAGGTAAGCCTGTTCGGGCTGAGCACAGTGCTGTGGACACAAGCACTGGAAAACCATGCTGTGCCAGAAAAAGGCAGAAAGAAGTGGGAGAGAAACAAGCAAGAGAGTTCTTAGAATAACAGATTTATAGGACTGTAGTTTATTAAGCTTTGTTTCTATGTGTTGAGGTTTTTTTAAGACTTTTTAAAAAATGCTTTTAAAGAGGCATTGATGGAGATTACTGTTACAATATGATCTTTAAAGAGATGTTGAGCTACAGTACCTGGCTCCAGTGTCTGGGCTCCAGTAATATACCTCACATGCTCAGATTCAGTTAAATCCAGTAGTATTTTGCTTTGCTACAGCAAAGCAGCTGGGAAAGGCAGGCACAACACTAGGACTGTTCATTTGGCCATGCTATTATCGTCTCTTAAGAAATTGCCCCAGGTCTGCATCTAGCAGTCTTGCTCGCTTGTTCTGTAGATACTGTCCTTCTCTAGATGTTGTTTTGAGATTCACAGGAGGTACTAACCACAGATAAAATACTGGCTCCTCTGTGACCTTTCAAGTGGTTTGAGTTTGGATTTGTCCCAGTAATACTTCCTTACTGCATGCATTTCTGTGTTCTGTGGCTCATACTAGTTGAATTAGGATAATGTCTCTTCTGCCTGTTACCAGTGTTTTGGGGGTGGAGGGATTGGTATTATACCAAGACTCCAATAAGTTCAATGAAAGCCATAGCTCCAGAAATAAGTCATGACATTTAAAAAAAATCTTACCCAGTATTACTGTTCTTTTTTTTAGAAGCAGGCTATAATGGGGAATAATAGCAATGTGTATTCAGCCAGCAGGTGGAATGCTGTTTATGAGAAGTCCCTTCGTAAGCTCTATGGCATTTGCTTTGTTTCTTAACTATGTTTTATCTTGGAAGTGTTCTATCTTGAGGAGTCTGGATAGCACAAAGCAGAAAAGATATTGTAGTTTCTGGAATTATGAATGGCAAAACAAACTGTTCGCAGTGGTAATGCAGGCAACCATTTCACTGGGCAGTCTTGTTCAACAAGGACGCTTGAGTTTGCAATTTGATTCTGTTGAGAGATTTACTCACTTATGTAGCCCAGATGAAGATACTGAGATCTGAACAAATAGCTGTTTGCAAAATTTACTACTTATCTGTTTAAAAACAAACCAGCCCCAACCCTACAAACCCAACACAAAAAAACAAACATAGAAAAAATACCCAAACAGACCCAACCAAATCCCCTTTCCCTTAGAGGTGAGAGAAAGATAATAGCTGAAGTATTCTGTTTTCTTGAAATAGTAGGAACTGAGTAGTCACAGTTCTGGATTGTAGTCTTTTGTACCACTATGACACTTTGTTTTCCATATCGGTGTGGTCAAGATACACACTATGAATTAACAGATGTGAATCAGGTAATTTTATCACCTCATATTAGAAGACATTGCTGTTGTGTTACACTTTCTTTTGATAGATCACAGTAATTGAGGTTTAGTCACTGAAATAACACGTTTCAGAACAAGCTAGATGTTCTGTATATGTTAAATTAACCTTTCAAGCATGGAGCAAGATTGATTTGTCAAACATCTTTGAGCAAAATAAGCAAAAGCTGTTCACTTCATCTCTGATGATGTTTATGAATTTAAACAAAACAAAAATACTTGTCACTAACAGACTAATTAACTACATGTGAAGGAAGCTAATTTAACAGAACCGACATATGCATACAAATTTCCTATTAGGCTCTAATGTGAAGTGTTCTTAAGATCTGCTTTAAATGATTGACACTCAATGTGTTTCAAGTATATACTTTGAAAGCAGATGCAGGAATTGAGTGTGTCTGCAACCTACCCAAGAGACTGCTTATAAAGTGCTAAGAGAAGTGATTGAAACAAAAAAACCCTACTTGAAATAGGTACACTAAAGATGCTGTTTGGCCTGCAGAAAGGCTAGGTGAGCAATTCCTACACAGTAAGAGCTGGAAGGAGACAAATTGTGGAATATGATGTGTGTGTATAGAGAAATGTATTTGATTTTTCTTTCATCTGAAAGGATCACCTATTTAATTAGGCCTAGCTGTGCCAAATGGAGCAAGAATTGCTACCTGCCATTCCAGAATTATAGCCAGGGAAATACTAAAGGAGAAGGAGGAAGAAGTGCTGTACCATCAACTTGTTTGAACAGATAAAGTCAAAGGTATTTTTTAAAGACTAATTCTATCAGCCATATCTAATCAGGAAACCTGAAGCTGAAGAAACTGTACAGCTATTTCTTCATCTAACTCTGCAGGTCAAATCTGAAAACAGTGCAAACAGATACATTTGAAAAAATGAGTGTCATAAATGAAATCCTGTAATTCACTGCTTTATGGGAAAATGACAGTAGTAATTTTTGAGTGTTGGTAGTGTTCTCTTCAAATATAGCAAAGAACTGAGTAGTGTGCCATTCGTATATAGGTAAGGAAAGACAAGAGAAGAGTTATAACTTCTATAGTCGTCTTGTGCTGTGAGGTAATATTGCAAATGCCAGTTGAGTTCTATCATTGCAGACAGTGTAGGTGCAAGACCAATGATGGACTGGTACTCATAAGAGTATTACCAACAAAACTGAGTGCATGGTAGTGAATGTAATGAACCAGTAGGAACTAAATATAATCTATAGATAAATCTGGTTAGGACTCAGAGACATAAAGGGCTGGCAAAATCTCTGTAGCAGCTCTAAGTCAACTAGAAGTAGAACAGACCAGACCATTAAAACTGGAGCACAGCATTGCAGAGGATACACCTGAAAGATAATATTATTTTTATATCAAAACCCCTTAAGTTTTATTTGAGATGCTACTATAACTGCTAAAGTGCACAGTTAACCTCCTAAAGTACCTGTGCTTTTTCCTGAATAGGTTGCTCACAGACATCTATGTTGATAACTATACAGTTTTCTGTGATACCTTAGCTGCACACAGAACATCAACCTACTAAGACTGGTTTCCTACTGAGATAAGGAACAGATGGCTGTGTTTTGTTTAGGAATATACCTTTTTATCTCTATTACAATAAGTCTCTGGTGAAAGAGAAATCAATAGAGGTACTGGTTCAGGTTATTATGAGGTATAGCTGCAGCATGCTGAAAATGTAGTATCTTGAATTTCTCATCTTGGGAGTGATCTAGATTTACAGGGGGGTCCTGTAATGCTGGTAAATAAATCACTGGATGCAGCTTGACATGCCCATAAGTGGTTCTGTGGTTCAAAACATCTGTAGCTTGCTGAAGTTGTGCTACCAATGTCTGTCCTTTTTTTGCTGAAGTCATGTCAAAGCTTTGATTTCCTTGTCTTGCACTCTTTTCAATCAAATGGCCATGTTTGCTGTTTGACCCTCATTTTTGTCATAGATGGCATCATGGTAATCTTGTAGGGCTGCTCTAATGTGACAGTTAGCTGCTGAAACTGACCAGTGCATTGGCTGAGAGCAAAGCAAAGAATTCTGTAGTCACCTCCACTAGCTGTCACATCTGCTTGGAGATGCAGACGCTGCTCATTTGGGTTGTACAGTTGCTGTGCTGCTGGCACAGGCTGTGACCTGACTGTCCTGTCAGCAGCTAATGATAGCACTCCATTAGTTCCTGTCTTTGACCAGCCAGATAGCCTACAGTTTCACTTACCACTGCACACTCAGAAATTATAGCATTTCTGACTGAAATAGCATTTTCCCCTTTCACTTCAGGTGAATCTTATCTTACATCACTGAAGTTGGTGAGTTTTGCTACCTGAAAACTTGTATTAATTATAGCTTACTCACTCTAAGATTCTTAGGGAAATAAAAATTCTATCCTTAACATTTTTCTCAGTAAATACTTGCAATTCTGCTTATTTAATGCAGATTGAACCAGGAATAACCTGTTATTTGGACTGCAAAGAGATCAAACCAGGATCTGAATCACCACCTAATTAAGAACTTAAATACAAACTGAGCAAAACCGAAGTACGTCAGTTTCAGGGCGGTTCATATGTTTTCCTTGTAGCTTGCTGAGGTATACTCAAAACACCTAGATATTTTTATAGTCTGAGTATCTTACTGGCTGCCAATGTAAAAATACAGTATTTGTGAGATTGTATTATGGCACAATAAATCAAAAGGCAGTCCAGTAGGCCTGTATATAGAGATCAATATAACATTTCAATAATGGCATCATTATGTACTGTGTCTATAAAGATATAACAAACTGTCAACGTGATTTCTGAACCTGAGCTGAAAGACTGCAATGTGAATGACACTTCAGTTTGTGGATGGAGCTTGGAAAGGCTGTTGGTTATTTTAGAAACCTGACTTATCTGTTTTATTGTAGTCAGTGTACAGATCAAAACAAAGTTATTTACCTTCTTCTTTGATCTCTCTGACTTCTTGGAAATGTTCTTTACTTTCGTATGGAGATGATATAAAACCTTAGAGGAAAAAAGGAGCAATATATTAAATGGGAAGTTTAATTTTGTATATTAACATTTGAACTCACAGAAGCAGCAAAGATTAAAAGAATTGTTTTAGAATGACTTCAGCCAAAGTTGAATTTGATACTCTGAGAATTTTAAACCCTCCACAATTCTTTCTCCTTCAAGAAACAAGGTTAGGAAAAATCATTAAAACCACTATGCTTCCAGAAGATGTGGTTCAGCCTGCTCAGCCTGCTCAGCTGACATTATCCTGAAATCCACAGTAGTCTTTCCATGGATTTTCATTTTTAGTTTGTGCCTCACATTATCTAGATTTATTCTCTAGGCTGATTGTATACAAAGGCAGAGAGCAGGCTGCCAGTTCTCTACCATAGTGTGATTGTCCTGCCGCTCCTGAATGCAGCACTAACAAATGGGGCAGTTGGAGTGTGCTCTCCTTTCAGAGGGAGAGACATAAGAAATATTAGAGCACCGTAGGGAAATTCTCAGTTAACAACATCTAGATTAAGCTTTTGAAACCTGATTACAGTGGGCAGTAACCTGGCAATGTTTATATGTTGGCCTTTGGAGCTAAAAGACTAAATTTTATGAAGCAATTAATGAAAAAAAAGCCTCTATGAAATGCAGCTCACCTTCTGGTTGCTGCTGTCTCACCTAGGGCAGAGAGGGGATAAATAACTGGAGCTACAGTATCAGGCGTTAACAGCTCTAGTGGATTTTTCCTCTTGTAACAAGCAAGGTTGTAGGTTTAGAGATTTTTAGCCTAACTCTTAAGTGCATTGTCTTGTCCTTAGCACTAATGTTAGCAGAACAGATTAGTACTGAAAGTATATTTTGATTAAGCAGACAAGAATTTAAATTATAGGAAAACTTTTTTCCCCCAAAAGGACAGACCTGCAACCGACTAGTGACAAGGAAGTCCAGTGCCTGGCATTCACTGCACAATAGTGAATTAATTCAAAATTCACAGAAGACTTATTCTGCATGCTAGCACAACTCATACACTTACTCTCAGTCTAATACATACTAAAGATCAGTAAGGGAAAACAAAAAATTAAGTGACAGCAATCCACAAGAAAAAAAAGAAGAGATTTCTTTCTGAATAAAACTCTGATCCGAAGATTTCTTTATGTGAGTCTTTGCAAGACACAGTGTTTGAGCTTTGTGTTCAAAGTTGGTGATGTCTTTATCTAATACTCTTTCTGTACACTCTCTGCATAGTTTTTCTCTCCATGGGTTTTTTCTCTTGCTAGGGACAAACATCTTTTTTATCAAGAGAGGGTAAAATGGAAAACAGGAAAAAAACAGCAAGAGTCAGATTTGAGTGTCAGGCTGTGTGCCGATTTAGCAGTTGTAATCCTTTTTGTGAGCTGGTGTAATTTCATTCTCTGTTTTCTTTCCCTTCCCCTGTTTCAGGGAAGTATTCTGTACCAGGAGAGAGTATGGAAAGGATTCGATCTCTTATTTGTTGTCTGGGTGGCGTAAGTGTACACATCCAAGCCACCAAGAGCCTGTGAGTGATCTTTCCCTCCATTCAAATATTACTCGTGTCCCTCTCACCTTGGCATAGCAGCAGGTGATGAGCACCAGGGGCAGGTGGTATCCCACCAGCAGGATGATAATCTTGTACATCTGCTTGGCTGTTGAAACATCTACCCAGTGCTCCCAGCAGAAGGAGCTGTTGGGTGCTTGCTGATAACCACTCATGAGGGCCTGTTGCTGAGCTACAGGGATGGCAATGAGTAGAGACAGCAGCCAAATGACACCCACGCCGAGGGCAGCGTTGCGCTTGCTGCGGAAACAGGGTGAACGCTTGGCAGGGTGAACCACAGCAATATATCTGTCCACAGACATAGCCACCAGAGTAAAGATGCTGACCAACATTGTTGCCATGGTCAAGTAGTGAACCCACTTGCAAAAGAAGGCACCGAAGGTCCACTCTGGCAGGGAGTAGATGGTGGCTTGGAAAGGGACGCAGAAGAGCAGAAAGGAGAAGTCTGCAATGCTCAAGTTCAGGATGAAGATGTTGGTAGCACTGAGTGATAGGCGTCCCCGGGGCCGGAGACATCCCAAAACAACCAGTACCAATGTGTTTCCCACCGTTCCTAGGAGGAAAATCAACACAAATAGTACCGGTACAATCACCACCTCTGGGCCACCTCTGTTTGCTTCTGACCAGCATGTTGGGGCCCATGTTTGGTTAGTCTCAAGGCTGCAATTGCTGGTGTTGGCTCTGAGGGAAAGCACAAAGTTGTCTTCCTGCTCCTCCATGGAGCAAGGCTGAATGCTTGGGATTTCCAATGTTCTGTGTCTTTCTTTTAGCGAGCAATTTTCTTCAAATGATTCTTCCAAGTTCTCTCTGTGTCCGGTGCAGATTGTTCCAGGAACTTGCAAAAAAGGGGGTTGAGGAATTTTCTAATCCAAGATGTAACTGTAGGTTTGTCAGTTGCTGCTGGAGAAGCTCTTGTGAGAGAGGAGAATCTATGCCAGAAGGGCTGAGGGTGAAGCTGCCCTGGGAGCTTGGAGCAGAGGCAAAGCGACTGCAGCTCGGCTTCCTCATGCCCCTCCTCTTCTGCTTGCCTCCCACACCAGTCCCTGGATCTGTGGCTGTCGTACCTGCTCTCCCAGCTTGCTCGGAGCTGTGACAGTGAGAACAAATGCTGTCTGTGACCAGAGCCCTTCAGTAAATAATCCCTGGTCTGCTCTGTCCCCATAAATTACTACTGACAAGGAGGGGAAGAGCAGAGCAAGAGCAAGTTCTCATCCAAAGGGATGGGTTGAGCAGCAGCTACTGAGCAATAATGTGTGCAGTTGTGTGAGAAGCAGCATTGGAACTGGCTGGATTAGGAGGAAAAAAGCTAAAATACTTTTTTTTAAAAAGAGAGCAGGATTTATTTTTGTTGTTTCATAGTATTTAATGTGCTCACTTTAGAGCATAAAGCATTCTGGATAGTTGTGTTTTCAGCACAAAAAACTGGGAGAACTTTAGTTTCAGCAGCTGGGTCCTGCCACCTCTTGAATATCTGCCCAAATTTTTAGTGCCTGAATATTCATGGATCTTGTTGATCTAACTGTAAAGAAGTTCTGGGTTCTGCTCAGGAGTGCCAAGAGCATCTGCAATGGAAAAGGAAAGGATTGTTCTAGGTAGCTGGGAGCAGCTGTAATATTCCATGCCAGGGAACAGTGAAAAGGATTAAAAAAAAGTAGTAGTTTTATTAAGGATTAATGGCTTAGTTACTGTGTGTTTGATGCTTACTTACAGAAACAGTATGTGTGTTTTAGAAGGTACCAAGTAATTTGGTTTCTACTGCAAGGGATTTGAGATAACACATGCAGGCATTTGAAAGCTGCATGCATGTCACCTGCAAAATAAACATAGCTTTGCAGATCTAAATGATTGCTTGGTACACTGAGTGGAAAATAGGCAGAGGACAGCACAGGTCTAGCAGTGAGGAGGGAGAGATCATAGGATTTTTTTTAGATTTGTAAAAAAATTTTTCAAAAAATCTCAAAATCTTGAAGAAGGGACATTACCAACTTCCTTCTCCATCTTCAGAATAGTATTAACAATTTTTAAAGCAACTAGACTGCTCCAGGCTAGGGGTTTTTTTTTTTTCAGATTTCAGTGAGAGTGTTATAACTGAGTGAGTGGGAGAAAAGGTGACTATTGTGGATGGAAAGTGGCAGTGACCTGCTGAATTAGACATGCAGTAAACTAGGTACAAGAACTCAGCTTGCTTTTAATAGGGAACTGAGAAGCTGCAAATCTGACTTCAAGTGGCAGCTGGCTGTTGTAGGACTATTCATGGCTGGTCTTACTTGGGAGGAAATAATTTCCAGGGGTAATTTGCATGCTTTGCTGAAAACTTATTCTGAAACCATGCTTACTATGGCAGTCGAAAGTTCTAAAAAAGGTAAAGATTCCTTCTTCTGTTCCCCTCTTTCTGCCACTTCTCAACTGCTTTAAATGGCATGTTTTTGACTAGGAGAAATCCTCTATCCTTGGGAATTCACAGCCCAAATACAGTGGGAAGGGAACTGAAAGTAACAACACAAAGTACTTGCCATAAGACATATTCATTAGTCCAACTTGGAGGAAAAGATCAAGATCTTTACTGAGAGCAGGACACAAATAGCAAATGAACCTGTAATGTGTGATTTGCTGGGAGTGTTCATATGGGATGTGGTACTTTAAAATTCGTGGTGTTTCACTTGGAAAACAGAAGCAATTAATGCACTGTAGATTAAGCTGCATGACATATCTCAGCTCTACAAATTCTGCTGTAGAAACTGTTGAAACTGTAGAAACTGTTGCTTCCCGGATGAAGACAACAAACACTTAAACATGAGTAAAGGAAACAAAATTTCTCTGTGGGAGGGGAAAAAAAGCTAGAAGTCTGACAGACTTCACCTCAACCAAGGCTGAATTGGAAGCCAGATGTTGTTGCCCTTGTCTGGGTTGATGTTGGGCTAAATGAAAGCACTGGACTCGCATGCTGAATCCCTGACTAAACAAGCATTAGAGGTGTCTTATTGAGAGAGGACAGCACCAGACCTTTATGGATAAATTGACAATCCCATAGTAAGGAGAAGAGAGGGAGAATGTCAGCCATAGGAACAAGGGTAGGTGGAAAAAAACCCAAAACTTTAGATGGAGGTTTTTAAATGGTACTATTTTTAGCCTGTTGTTGGTACAAACTAATTTGTCCATTTTATGATTGCTAATGGGTGCTTCAGCTCCTAATTACAGTGAATGTCTGGTATGTTGCAAATCACTTAGTGTTCAGCTAGTCATGGTTCAGCTTTTTGATACCTATGTGTTAGCTCTCTAAGCCCCTTGACTTTTGAGCAGAAGGAGCACACTCAAACATAACAACGAGCAAGAACTTCACTGTCACACTTCTCTCCCTCTATGGAGAATGTGGGTTACATCTGAGATCCGGATCCATTTTAAGGGAAACAAATAGGCATCCAGGCCCAAAAGTCCAGTTTGTGGCTTTGAGTTTGCCATCTGTTTTTGTATACCATGCTCTGGGCTGAAAAGCCCATTAGGCTGAATGTGAGCTACCTTGATGCAGCTACTAGGAAACAAGCACTGAAATAGCTGTACTTGGACTGTAACAACCCTCTCCAGTTGTGATCCCTAGCTTGGTTATGCCCTGGTGAGAGAAGGTGCAGTGTCTGTTCCTCTTTGAGTATTACCCAAAGAGGGGCAGGAGGGCCCACTGCCTGCTCTGCATGTAGTGGCACAAAAAGTAGGAGCCCAGATTCAAGTCCTTTCCAACCCCATATAATCCCTTTCCTAAAGGATCCGAAACCTTCATCACGTAGACACTAATTTACTTTTCCACCAGGCCATAAGCCAAGCTGTACAGGTACCTTGCTCAGGGAGGAACTATGATGAAGTACTGCAGAGAGTACACATATCACAGGGCCAGAAGAAAAAATAATTGATTGTTCAAGCTAGGTACTTGGTGGAAGAAAGGGGTTCTGAAATGTGGCTCCTCTGCTTCATTATTTTAGGGTTAAAAAGTCAATATACCGAATAAGTAAATTCTTTCAGCTTTTATGAGCTAAAAAGTCTGAGTCTCTTGAGTGGAGGATTGGAATCTCACTCTAACCATGAAAATGTCAAACATTGCAAGATATTAAAAGATAGAAATATCTTTTCTGAGGAGTCTGAAATTGTTCATGTGCTCTGTCAGTATGTGAACTAAACTGGAACTGCAGGGGTAGTAAAAAGCTGCTCCCTCTCCCTTGTGGATCTTGGGGGGCTGGACAGGAGTTTGGTAAATAGCTGCCAATTTGGCTCAAGCCTCTGTGTGTGCACACAAGGGAAGAAGGCCTTCAAAGCACAGAAAGGAGTTAACTTAGTCAAACACCTAGCTGAAAGGGTGATCTGCTGCATAGAGGTACCTAAAGTCACAATTACAGAAGGCCAATCACTTGGTCTCTTTTGAAGAGTCTCAACTTGATCTGACCAGTTTATTATGCTGTAAAAATCTTGCTGATGAAAGGGGCTTACATTGAATATAACTGAGAAGAGAGTCCTTTCATTTTAATTGATGACAGCTTCTAGCTCAGCTGCTCTGAGCCTGTGATGTTGCCGTTGAGACTGTACAGTCAGAATTTAAAGCAGATGGAGGTTTATTGATTGGTTCTTAATCTATTATATCAATTTGTACTATTTTTCTTAATTATGCAACTGTTTGGTCTATTGCCTGCCTCTGGATCTGCTTTGTTTGTATTGCTTAAGTGTTGGCTAAGATAAGAGCTTCTGGAGTATACAACTGTGTAACAATGGCAAAACAAAGTCAAGTCTATTCTTAAATGCAAATATAGGCTAAATTCTAAAACTGTGACTAGCCAAGTAAAAGTGTTCTGTGCTCTCGATCTCCAGCAAGGACAGGAAGATCATAAGGGTGTATCTACACAAATGGCATCAAAAGTGCATTTCTGAACTGATACTGTGAATTGTCCCTACTTCCTGTGGCTTGTACCACAGTCACTCTCCAAATCAGATTCTATAGGCCTGCACTACTCTCTAGCAAACACATAACCTAAAATATGGTAAGCTAAACTCTGGAAATGTTTTGATCTGGCAGAACTTCATGATATATTTCACTGTGAAATTTGGATGGAGAAAATCTGCAGTTAATATTGTGCCCTCAAATGACTAGACCATTAATCTCTTTCTGCAGGTTAAATAATTTTATCTGAAATTCTAACTGATTTTTGACTGTTAATCAAAGAACTATCTGATTTAGTAGAAAGTACTTTGAACTAAGAAAAGTCCTTTTGGTTCTAAGTCCTTCAGGGCAATATCTGTACTGCTCTCAGGAGTATGCTGCTTTCTAGGAGTGCCAGGTCTAACAAGTTCTGGTTTTCTCTCATCCACTTTAATGGCTTGGGAGGGGGAGCTGAAGTTTACCATCAGTTTAACTTTACATAGAATTATGGAATGGTCTCAGTTTTTCAGATAAAGTATTTTGCTTTGCTCAGTACCTGAGTGAAGGTATTGCTGAATTTTCTATTCTATATTTTGCAAGGTCTTCAGCTTATTCACTAGAAATGACCTCTGGTTAGTTAATCTGCTTTGCAGGTATCTTGGCATAAAAATTATACTAAGGACTCAATCTTCATTCCCTGAGGGAATGTCATTAAAATAGGAAGTATTTCTAAAAACCTCTTGGGAGGCTTTATAGGAGATTCAGGCCATGGGACTGAATATGTAGTCTGCATGTTTACTGCCTGACTCGCTTGTGTGCAATCATTGAGTGCAGGCA